AGGCATCTTTGTTTCTTGAGTGTTTCAGATACCAATTCTTGCCCTTTCTGTTGTGCGTAGTAACTAAGATGCTGTCAAGAAAATATAGCAGGGCTTCTATGAGCTTAGAAAGAGCATTGTAAAATATTGCATTAGCCTTTTGTCCCTTCAGTCTGTTTTTCCTAGAACAAATGTAATCTTAGTCACTACAAATTCTGTTTAAAGCAGCTCATCTGGTGAGTCACCTAAAGTTTAGCTGCGGATATGGTATTGTTTTAACCATGTCAAGCTGGAAATGTTAGCCAAGTTCTAGTAACTACTCATTGGAGGGAGTTAGTGGTGTGCTGTCACATGTGTTTTGAGGAGGATTCTAAAATGGCCAGAGAGAAAGAAATGCCTCAGATGAGCAGGTCAGCATTATAAGAACGGCCTGCAAGAGCTTCGGAAGTGTGACGTGTGGTCTCTGCAGGCTCAGCTGCTCCTCACAACCTAAGACATGTGAAGGTGCTGCCCATCATCCATACCCTCCTGCCAAGGCAGACAGAAACTTGGGAGACTCTCCAGGAGGCCATGCAGAAGGGTCAGAAGACCATGCAGATGCTCTGAGGAAGAAATTAAAGCTTTAAACAGAACATCTTGCCATGACTTGAAAGGTCATTATCTAGTTCACACTTACATCAGACTCTAAATATTGTCAGAAAACAGATATGTTTGCCAGGACCATGAACAGTAAAATCGCTCAAAATAGACCACAGAAATCTTCAAGGCCAGTGCAGCCAAGGAATGCCACGGCATTCAAACCTGATGCTGCCTTGTGAGAGACCTCTACCAGAATGAGAAGCAGCAGCTGCTTATAGGAAAATTTATACTCACTGGCCCTCCAAAATCACAAAAACCTTTCAAGTCACATGAATGTATGAAATTTTGTCTCTCCGGTGGGGCTGGAAGGGGGAAACTCCTGCTGCTCAAATGAGACCCTCTGTCAGACACCAGCTGTACTTTGACCTCTGAATGCTGTGCCCTTCCCCCTCTCCATGATGCAGCTTGGTGCCTCTTTAGCACTGAGCAGCAGCTATCAGCTTTGCCCTCCTGCTGGCCCCACCCTCTGCTGGCTAAAACCAGGTCACCTCCTGCCAGGCAGCTGCTGGGTGAAAGTCCAGAGCAGCTCTACCAAATAAACAAGTCAAACAAAGGCAGTTCCCAGCACTGGATGGGGCTGTACTCCAGAAGACTATTTGCAAATTTGTCATTTGGAACTTGGAAGACATTCCCTAGGAGGAACACCATTATGCATGTGGCAAGGTTCCCAGGTTAGCCCACAAAGCTGATTTAACCCAGAATGGACTTGGAAAAAGTGCTCTAGATCTCATCATAGTCGGTAATAGGTGTGTAGCCTTTTCCCTTCTATTTATAGGCATTTGCTGACCTAGGCATGGTACCACGTACTGTGGAGGATTCAAAGCTGCCTCAGCTTTATAGGCTGAGTTGATTCAGCAGCTCCTGAGCACCAACACAGTGGCTGAGACCTTCCCAGCTTTGTGAAACCCCTGCTCCCCTTTCCCACCTAGATACTTTAGGCTGAGGGTGAAGGGTTGACAGCTCAGGCTTTTCTTTAGCTAGGTTCTTCCAGATAGCCTGGGGTAGAGCCAGACAGGTTTGGGTGAGAATCCTAGCTCTACCACTTACACAGTTGTATAGCCTCTCTGAGCTTTAGTTTTGCCTCTACAAAATTGGGATAATATACACCTAAGAGGACCTAGGGGTTATCTCCCCAAAATCTGTTCTCCTTCTCTTGGTAACTACCATGACTTTTGTTAGGGTATCCACATCTTCCCACAACAGACCACTCCACTCCTAGGGGTTTCCGAAAAAACCAAACCCGTTGCTGTCGATTCCGACTCATAGCAACCCTATATGACAGAGTAGAACTGCCCCTTAGGGTTTCCAAGGAGTGGCTGGTGAATTTGAACTGCCAGCCTTTTGGTTAGCTCTAAACCACTGCACCACCAGGGATCACCTAGAGGCTTAAGCCTAGTACAATCCTATTTCCAGGCCATCATTGTAGACCGAATGGTAAGTGCTGGACTAATTTAGGCCAATGAGCTTGCCAAAGTTTGCTGGTTATTTCCAGAAAAAATAATGTTCCCTTTCTCTTTCTGGATAAGAATGGGGACATATTTGGTATGAGTAGCTACTGAAAGCTGCTCTGAGACTATGATGGGAGCCAGACTTAGATAGATAGAAAAGTAGAAAGATGGAAAACAAAGAAGGAACACCTTGAAGAAGTTGTTGAGCTGCTGAATTGACCTACCCTGAGTTCTACTTCTGTTGTTCCAAGTGTGAGCCAAAAATGTCTCTCATTGTTTGTACCATTTTGAGTTGAGCTTTCTGTTTCTTGCAATGGAAGGCATGCTAACTGATATACTACAGCACAATATTTACCATGGGTATTAAATGAGATAGAATACAGTATTTAGCACGCAGCCTGATTTATGGATATAATTCCCCCTCCGGCCCAAGGGCATTAATGGTACAGATCACAGTTTTTCAGGCCTTGGTTGGGGGTTGGGAAGAATCGGGCTTTGCTCAGTAGACCCCTATCAGACCTTAACTTGGCTTGGGAGCTTAGATGTCTTGCCTGGGCTGGGAGGTGACCCTGCTGGGCTGGTTCTAGTTTTAGAATCAGCCCCTCTGGAAGGAGTGGGCCTTGTAAACCTGAAGCTTTCCTCACCCCTGGGCAGGTATAGATATACAACGAGGAGGTACAGTGTGATGGATCACTTTTGTGTGGCCTGTCTCACTGTGGTCTTGTAACTCCCACCCAAGTGATTGGGTGGGACTGTGCAAATAGGGTACTTGTGGCCCACCAAGGGGATTGGACGATTTTGCCATCCCACTGAGCTTGAAATGAGTGATCCCAGCGGTGTAAGGAGAAAATCCCACCATCACCAAGGAAGAACAGCCAGGAGCAGAAAGCATGTCCTTTGGACCTGGGATCCCTGTGCTGAGAAGCTCCTGGACCTGAGAAAGAGAGAGTTGTAACACTGAAGACAATGAAAAGCAGTGGCAGAGAAACAGCGGCAGGAGAGACCGGCAGGAGAGACCAGCAGGAGAGACTGGTAAGAGACTGGCAGGAGACGGTGCAGTGGGCTTCCTGGCCCACAGAGGGAGAAAGCTGAGTGCCTTTGGGCTGAAGCTTACTGACAGAGTAGGGTACCTCTGGGCACTTATTGGCAAGCTGAAGGAGGTTTGTAACATTTGCCTGCGCATGGCAGAGGCTGAATGCCAGAGAGAGGTATGCCTGTGGCATGGCTGGGAAGAGGCTGTCTTGATAGAAGAATTGTATCCTGAGTATCCCTGAGCCTGAATTGTAACGTGTTACTTCCCTAATAAACACCATAATTGTGAGTATGGTCTGTGTGTGGCCATTGCAGTGAATTATTGAACCCAGCACAGAAGCAGAGAGTGCCATGGGAGGGACTGTTAATGTCAGAATTGGTAAAGATGGTGGAGAGAGGAGGCATGTCTGACCTCTGCCTCATAAGAATCAGCTTTGGGCTTTAGACTTTACTCTCCTTCCCCCTTATGAAGTTAGAGGAGGTCAGACACCTACCCCATGCCATCTTTATAGGAGGGTTGAGTGATAAAAAGGGAAGGAAGCAGAGAATATTTATTTGCTAGGGCAATAAGGAAAAGATCTTTTGGATCAGGGTTAACCTCTTCTTCTCCTCTTTCTTCCTTTTCCTCCTCTCTTCTTTACACTTTTCCTCACTCCCAATTCTCACTAGAGCTAGAGAGGAAGGGTAAGTCAGTGTTAGCAAGGATTCCAGTTTTCAGACAAAAATGTGAATTTAGACTCTTATAGGAGGTTGGCAAGTCTGGTCTCTTGGAGTCTCTGCATGAAGAATAGGAAATCTAGGCAGGGAAGCCCGGTTTAAGCACAATGGGTTGTGTTGTGACTGTGGCTGGAGGGAAGGAGTCATCTTGGGTACACGTAATGGCTGTAAGTCAGATTTCCTGTCAATCTGTCACCCCCAGATTTAGGTCCAGTCCCTAGGGAGAGGAGACTGCAATAAAAGAGTAAGTTAACAATAAGCTGGCCCATTGAAATCTCTGTAAGAAACCTGGTTCACACGACATTACTGCTTTGTGTTCTTGCTATATAAGAAGGGTAGAGCTTATTTGTCCCATTTTAGCATACTGCTTTTGAGATTATGCTAGAACACAGGATGGAGAAAGAGTGTAAGAAAACATTACTTCACAAAAATGGGTCAAAGGGTGCCATATTCCAACAGTGAAATGGGTGACTAGAAGTGAAAATAGAACTCCAGTGTGATCTGACTAGAACAGGATTCAATTGCCACCCTCTTATCTGGACACTAGATTTATGACTGCGGTCAAGAATTGCCCTAGCCTTTGTTTTTATCAGTCACATTCCATTAAAGCCTTATAGTGAATTCATAGTCAATTAAAAGCCCAGTTGTTTTTTACATGAACTGTTGCCAAGTCAGGAATCCCCATGAATTTGTATTATTGATTTTTTTAAGGAAATACAAAACTTTACTATGATTCTTGTTGAATTCCTTGCTGTTCAGATTGTTTTGTATTTTATTTCGTTCATAGATTAGCTATTACTCTAAACTTTATGTGTAACTTCTTCTTCATTCAAGTCATATATAAAAGTGCTGACTAGGGCAGGGTACAAGAGGGGTTTCTATGACTCTGTGTGGAAACCTTCCTGCCATGGACACCCAGTTATTAATCAACCCTCTGTATTTATAGCTATTTAGTCAGCTGCAAAGCCATCTAACAATACTTTCATACCACTCACACTCCCCACCTTATTCATCACAGGGTCATAAGAGCTTTGCCCAATGTTTTACTGAAATCAGGTTACACTGTCTTGGGCGTTTTGGCCCCTAGCAGTCTAACACTGGCACAATACCTCTCAATAAATGTTTGCTGGATTAAAGTTATTTCTACTCATTCATTAGCCTAGTAACTGTATATTAAAAAATGGAGTGCTTGCAGTGGCAGCACATATACTAAAATTGGAACGATACAGAGAGGATTAGCATAGCCCCTGCATAAGGATGACATGAGACCACTATTATAAAAACCCAAGAAAAGGTTTACACACAGAAAAAAACAATCTTTGATGGTTACGAGGGAGGGGAGGTGTGGAGAGGGGATATCACTAACTAGATAGTAGACAAGTATTAACATTGGTGAAGGGAAAGACAACACATGGTATAGGGGAAGTCAGCACAACTTGATCAAGGCAAAGTCATAGAAGCTGCAAACACCTTGAGGGACCGAGTTGCTGGG